GGTGATAGTAGGTTTGTCACACAGGATCTGCCGTTCCTGAAACCATGCTGGGCTTCATGGAGTCTATTAGTACTATCGAGGTGCTCCCTTATGTGATCATCAATAATACTTTCCAGTACTTCTGATACCACTGGTAGTATGGCTACTGGTCTACAACCGGTAGCATTTTGCCTAACCCCAGCCTTGGAGATCGGAGAAAGGATGGCTCTTTTCCACTCCCTTGGCAGTTTCCCCGAAGCCATCGAGTGTTGGAACAAGTCGAATAAGGGCCTACACAGAGCTTCAGCACACTGTTTCTGAACAGATGGCCCGATGTCATCACAACCTGAGGACTTTCCAGATGTGAGTCTCTGTAGCTTCCCTAGTACTGTTGCCGGGTTTATTTGGGGGGTAACCACTAGATCTTCCTCCGGTGAAATAGTAGTGCCTCCATTTCGGTCCTTACCAGTAATACCCACACTGCTGTTTAACTTTTTCGCGAAGGCTAAACTGAATGTCTCAGCCATCTCCAGACTGGTGAGGTATTGACCGTTCACACCTAATAAGGTGCATGCCCTTGGTTGGTTGGTTTTCTTTCAGGCATAATATAGTGATTCAAAACTGCAGGTACTTAGTTTTATTTCCTAGAGATTTAAATTTGTACCAGGAACAATTATCTCATGTATTGAGATACTTTACAACCCACGATTCCGCGTCTTCTTAAGTTGAGTAGAAATTTGTGAAACAGTAGGCTGTAAACATTTTGAATACTCGCGAGAGTAAGCAGTAATACTACAGGTCAAAACAATGTGAGCACGAGATATCAGATTCAAAATTAAGACAGAGGATTTTAGCACCCGAAGTTCTAAGTAGTCCTTGGTCACCATGGCGATGTATAATTCTGTTTTATTTCGTTCACTTGATGTAACATCGAGTGGTACTATATTACCTAATAGATGATGTTTAATGGTCACTCTAGCCCTCATTATGATATCAGTGAGATCATGGAAGTTTCGAAATCAGTTTTTATACTGATAAGGTGCACTATTCCTCCGATTCTACTAACAGCCTAACTTTCTAAATATATACAGTGTTTGTTGCAAAAGTTCTATTGCTGGTATTCCATGGTGATTCGTTAAAGATCTATCTCTGCATCGAAGTAAAGTGCATATTTGAAGTATTATCGAGAATTAACTCATAGTGTGATTATGAACCACTGGGTGTGTTTTCATAGCTGGGCTATTTTCCAAGTCACTTCTCTTTACTAGGTTCTCTCAATTTATATTTAGCTGACTGACCTTGTATTTATTACATGGTATTGAATAAGTTGAATTTTCATGCCTAATTTAAACTATAGAACTGGTCGATCTACTTAGTTTCCCTGTGAGTGACACTACGGGTTTAAATGCTTCTTCCGAAGTAATGTCTCTTATATCCTTTCCTTATATGACACTGACTGATACTACTAAAGAGGCTTTAGACTTCCTCTTTCCTATGTTTCAGTCATCATGGAGGTCATTGTTTACCTTTATCTTAGACTCTGTAGACTTTCCAAACTAATTATGATGGACAGCTTTTGGTTGATTAGTGATGCCTCTTTCATTTTCCCAGATCTTTTTATTCAAATGTTTTGAGATTGAGATCAAAATTAGGGATATGGCCCACTGAATGAGGTCCACCCAGCTCGCAGTAGCTTCGTCACGAGTTCTAATCCCACTCCACCTACTGAGGTTTGATAACCCTCAATCAACAGATGTGGTACATGACCAATTGCATGAAAATACAAGTGGTCACTACTTGTTACCAGTTGACATTTTTCTTAATGTTCCAATTTTCTGATCGCATTGTTTAAAAACTTCACTAAGCAGATCTTATTTGAAATAATAATATTAATAATCTTTAGGGTTTTTACGAGTTGATCACGGATTGATATCAGTTCTAGGGAGAAGTCGTTACCAGTGAGGTCCAATTAGATGTCACGTGTGTGGATGGATGCCCCACCAACGACAATGGTTGGGGTCGCGCTAAATCACGAATCGGTAGAAGTTAGAATTCATGAGCCGTTGAATTGGGTCCCAGTGGCTGAATGGTATACGAGCTTGCCTTGTACTGCCGATGATTCCCAAACTAGGATGAAACAGCAGCTGTCCAGTACTCCCTGCTGGTTTTCAATGGTTCTCTAACTGATATCAGTCCGTGATCAACTCGTAAAAACATAACAAACCCTTACAAACCAAACTATAGAAAATCTTTAAAGTAGCATCACGTTTGGGTGCTACATTCAAATGTGTTTGTAGTCAACTTGTTAGAATTAGAAAGTCTCGTTTTATTTTTCTGCTTCAATCTCTCAAAATTTATTTTCTCTTGTTTTCTTTTCATTATTTGCTTGTTTTAGTATAAAAAATAGCTTCATTGACCAACTTTTCCTTTCTACTGCTTCAATAGTTATCAGCCTAAAAGGCTACTGTGTACTGTTAAGTTCTGTAGTCACATTCACCAATACTATCATTATGTATATATATGAACTTTATGCAACGAAATAGAGCTATGCAAAGTCTAGACACATTTAAGTGACAAGAATTTCTTAGATTAAAAATATCCCTGAATATAAGAATACACATCTGCACACACACACACACAAACACACATATGTACACATGGTAAGTATGTGTTCACTATCGATTAGCTACATGATTAGAAGTGCAGAAATAACTGGTCTCTTATTACTATTATTATTTACAGTGAGGTTCAAGTGCATTCATTTTAAATCTTTTAAAAAAGAAATTCATCGTTCCATCGGGAATTTTGTTTTCTACAAAAAGTGGTTAAAATAATTCAGGAGGATTGCTAGAAGCACTTCATTTTTCTATATATTTATATAATAGATTGTTATTGTACTACCTGTGATAATCATTCACCTTGATTCCTATTTGTCTCCACAACGATCAATAAACAATCAGTGGATTTGTCTGTATGTGTTAGATGGATGAAGGTAATTCACAGAAATCCATGATCCTGGATTATATACTCATTGATATTTGTTAGCAACTCGTATCCGTAACCACGCATAAATTCACGTACCCTTTATGAATAGAATCGGAATCTTTCAGGGCTTCAGTTGGAAAAAAATTATCATAGAACGTTTTGGTGAAGGGTGATCTGTTTAAAGATAGTGCTGGAGGCATTGATTGGTTGTTAGAAAGTACGGGGTGGTACAAGTTGACATCTATGAGAGGTGATCGGCTTTCTTCTAGGCTGCAGATACACTTTGCTGATTGTTCTTTCTTCATACCTTTTGCTTTCCCAATGGAACATAGGGCTTCAAGCTTCAGAGTAGGGCTGGTAGTCTCCGGCATAGCTTTCCTACTTTGCTGAGCTTACAACTGGCTGAGGGAAGTGACGGTGTGACCCAGCCTGATCATGTGCATGGTTGGTGAGCTCTCTCCTGTTGTTAGCATTTACTTTTAGCTATTAGTAAACAGGAAATACGATGAAAAATATTGATTGTTGGGGCTGATTATTATTGTTATTTTTTCCTTTAATTCCTAGAGGAACATATGGCTTCAGCCGTGCGTCTCCATTGCGTTCGGTTATCTGCTAGAGCCTTCACCTGGCTCCAAGTCTGCCCACACGCTTTCATCTCCTCTTCACATGACCTCCTCCAAGTCACCCTTGCAATGACGACCAACTCGCCGCTTCCCTTTCGGGTTCCACTCGAGCAATGGCTTGTCTAGGGATGTCACTTAATGGTCTCCTCAGCCAATCCATCTCCATTTCTTCCTGCCTATTTGTTTCACAATCGGTTCCTGGTTGGTTCGCTCCCAGAGGTCTCTGTTGCTGATCTTTTCTCGCCATCTGATCTTGAGTATTGAGCGAAGACAATTGTTAATGAAGGTTAATGAAGGTTTGGGCTGATGACACGTGGGATACTGTTGAGGGAATGTGATTTTATTCGACTTCCAATCAGTAGACCTTGGGTTTGCATACCACTTCACCTTATGCAGCCTTACCAACTAAGCGGTATCATGATCCATCACATAATAAAAGTGATTCATAATCTAGTATATTAAAAACCGTTTCCAAGTAACTTGATTCTAAACAGCAAGCAATCCACATAATAGGAGTAACATAACCCTAAATGTCTTTCTCCAAATGTAATTTTCTTAACATAACACACAATAATGAGTACAGTCATCCAATTTTAACAGCTTTAAATAATTTAGTTATGCTAATACCTTGAGCCAATGGGTTATCTGATTCGGATTCAGTATTCATATACAGAGGAAGAATAAATACGTGTATTTGAAAACAGTTTTACTTAGTGAGAAGAACATTTAAATAAATTTGAAATTATTAGAATAATTTTCAAAGTAATAAATGGCTCTTACTTTTAAAATCTACCTCTCAGATACAGTTATTCTATTATCAGAGAGCAAGCAGTTAGTCGACATTTTAAACTTCAGTTATGTTTAACTTCTTGACTAATTTATAAGATGCTTCTTTCGTCTTCTCACCAACCAGAACAGTTAATAAGCATTCTTCGGGGTGAAAACATGCAGAAGTGAGACAAACTATTAATAGATACCCTTACTATATCCGCTTTTTCATAGTCGGGTAAAGCAATCAGTAAAACAACCTAATCCGTATGTTTCGCTTTTTCTGTACAGCCTTACTAAACTAATCCTTTTGGAAACCCATGAAAAAAAAGAATAAATTTGGGAAAAGTGTTTATCACAAAAGGCAAGTTTCATCTTTCAGAAGAAGGAAGCGAAAAATCCTCTAGAAAAATTAAAAGTTTCTTCTTCCGCGGAAGTTTTATAGTGACAATTTTTTGAAATCCATTTTCGGAAATATGTTAGTGACCAAACTTACCTCTTTGACTTAAAAAAAAATGACTAATATACGAAGTTTTTATTAAAAAGGCTTATTTTTAATGGTTTTTAATTCAGGGATAATGTGTAAAACAGATTTGAAAATGATTTTTTTTTCTAAGTATATGTTTGTTTTCATTTCTTTTCTAGCCCATTATTGGTTCTTTCACACGAAGAATTGAACCTCAAACAAATGATACAAATGCTACACATAAGCAATCAGATGTGAGTTACAGTGAATTAGTTAGCGTTACGTGAATTCATTTAATTTGTATCAACAAGCTCATTACATAGAAAGTTAACTACTAATCTTATATCACGGTTCACACCAAAGTCTTCCAGTGTAGTGTTCGAATTTTGTACTGACTAACCTATGAAAAAGAACCTATAATTGTTATCATCCTTCGAGTTCCAAGTGAAACAGTGGGTTTCATCCTTTTAAGTTTCAGTAGCAGTGGTGGGTTGGAATGGATAGCCTCACTGTTTTTTGGGTTTAATACTGTCTAGTAAGCCATACAGTGTTTAGGACTGAGTCAGCTAGAAGTCGAAACCTCACATTCAGCGAGGCTCATGAGCATTCTGTTATTGAACCACACACGCATGGTTTAAAACTTAGTTTCAAGATAGTTTCTAAAAGCCTGACACTGAGAAGGGACTCCGATCAATATTCAGGTGATAGACGTAGATCCGACTTTTAAGTATTCCTTCGTTGGAATTGCATTGGTCTCAGGTTTCATCACAAATTAGTATCTGTTGGAGAATCATTGAAAACAAGGTAGTAATAGCCACCCGTTTCATCACTGTCTGGGACTCTCTAGCAGTATGTGCGCATAATCTCACCAAAGATCTAACCCAACAACTTCAGCTTACAATGAGAGTTCCTCTACCTCCTGGTTTTCAATGGTTCTTTAACTAATACTAATTCGTGGTCAAGTCTGCAACCAATCAAGTACCCACAAGCTAACATCTGAAAATTAATCTGATCCTCAGTAGTAACTGACCACAGGTAGAAGTTGTCTGGATTTACAGTGAGGAGTCGTAAATACTAAGTTCCATCAGGTTGGGTGTAACTAACGCTAAAATTCGAGAGTTGGAAAAAGTCAGAATTGACGAGCCACTGGATTCCATCACAGTGGCGGAATGGCCAGCAACACGCCTCATGATCTGAAGATTCTGGTTTTGATACCCAGTAAGATCATGGGCACATACTGATGAAGAGTCACGAAAAAGGACGAAGCAGTACTCCAGGATTTTCATTGGTTTTCCAAACGATTTTAATCTGTGATCTAATCTGAAAGCAAAGAAAGTGCTGGCTTTTAAGTGTAGTTACTTTGACAAAGAATGCAGGCGACTGTTGCATATGTTAATTGTGGGAACTTAATTCTGGATAGCTATTTAGTCCTATTTTGAGATTCTTCACTGGTACACACCCACCTGGGTTTGAACTAAGGACCTTCCGGGTACGGAGTGAGCTCGTAGACCATTCCGCTACTGGGAACTGACCAGTAGACCCTGCGTCCGAACCCCGGCGGCTACGTCTGTTGAAGGTTCCCTAACTAGGATGAAACGGGTGATCGGAACCCTCGATTTTTCCAACGGTTCTCTAACTGATATCAGCTTGTGATAAATCCTGTAGCTGGCAAATCCCTGTTAACCAACACTTAATATAACTTAATTACTCATATTTATATAAATATATTTCAGCTTTTTAGCAAAACAGTGGAATCTAATCTGTGTACTGGCTGTTATGGAAGAATAAAGTATATTTGACAGGATTTTCATCATGAGCAGACATTAGTTAGAGAACCATTGGAAAACCTAGGAGTACTGGACAGCTGTTTCGTCTTAGTTTGGGACTCTTCACAGTACGCACCTACCAGGATTCGGACCCAGGACCTTCTGGTTACAAGTATATTTTAAGCCGTGAAATATAATAAGGTTGAGGAGATAAGGTGATGCGTCAGAGATATAACAGGTCAGAAATTTAAGGTACAACGGAAGTTGTGTCATTTAACAAATACCCTAACTTTTTTCCAAGTAATCTGAATGCCTTGTTACTGAGTTGAATTTTATTCGCCAATAAGCTTCCTTTCTACTTCTAGTTTACAGGAATATCAATAGTTCATGTTTGTATCTTTTGTGTCACTATTTTTTGGTATTGGCAACAAAACCCACTAAGAGTGCATTTGAAAGATCCAAGATACACATTAAAAAAGACCATGTATCATGCATTTTCTGTTAAACTTCTCGGTACAAAGTAGCGTGTCCAGATGAAGATTAATATTCATTCTTTTTTCTTTTTTTTTTACAGATAACAGGTGCACCGAAAAAATCTGAACTTCTAAGTCATTTACCTACAGACTATCAAAAGGTTTGTACTTTTTCTCGTATGTTGCATAACATTATGATATGTTAAATGTATGCATTTTATTGTGCTAAAAATTTTCCCTCCAGACAGGACATCTGGATAGCATTTGGTAAAGTTTAAGAAAGTCGCCCGTATTTGGATTATCCTCCACACGCGATGTTCTTTGTTGTGTAGTCCAACATACTTTACATATTCAGAAGATGACCTACACCAGCTGGAATTTTAGACATGAAGAAATAAATGGAATTATGATTCTTAGATTTCCATCACAAACCAATATCAGCTAGAGAGATCATTGAAATCCAGGGAGAACTGAACAGAAATTTCGTTCTATTTTGAGGCTGTTCAACAGTGCTCCTCTATGACCCCATAGAAAATCGAACCTGGGACCGTCAGGTTATAAGACCAAGCTAGTTGATTACTCAGACACTTGGGCTGGAATCCACTGACCCTTGAATGAATTTTAACTCTGCTAACTTGTGATATACCGCTGCACTCTACACTGCTTTAGACAATCATCCAACTCCCCTTGATATATTAGATCCCTCTCGTCAGAAGTCCACAGTGCAGCACTGAATAATCGATACCTAGCATGATGCTTCTGGCAACTGGAATTAAGCTATAAAAGTATTTATTCCCCCAAGTGTTTTTAATACTATCAAACCAACGTTTTAAAGGCTAATTAATACACAGTAAAATCGATATTTCACGTCGGGCTCACCATTCCGTCGGTGGCATAGCGGTTAGGACGCTCGCCGACCATGCACGTGGTCTGGGATTCGATCCCCGGCCGACGAACTCCTTCACCTCGCTAAGCCAGAAATAATGCTGGTGAAGAGGAGGGGCTGGGCACGAGGCTAGCAACCACTAGCTTGAAGCCCTATGTTCCACTGGGGAACGTGAAGGAAAAAAAATCGATATTTCTAGTGTTTTAGGAAATTTCATTCACAGGGTTATTTGCAGCTTTATGATTTCGGCTCGTGAGTCAGAGACTTATTTAAAATACTCTTCTTAGTCATTTAATTGTTTTCAAGTAGCAATGTTCATTAAAGTTTTGTAACTCAGGAACTACCTTCATCAGCTGCATGCTGCTTGTCTTAAGGGTCATTAACTGATGAGCTGAAATCAGCCTGCATTGGGAAATACATATATATGGAAACTTTGACTGTAAATTTTACTCTGCAATGCTTTGAAATCCTTTGAATACTGTAAATTTCCTTGGGCTATTTCTCATTCTTTTTAATCGGTTATTGTGAAGTAATTATTATCCGGCTTTGTTTTGTCTAAAATAAACAATTTCTAAAATAGATCCCTTCAAGTTTGATATAGTATTTTCTTTAAAAAGAAAGACCATCTGTTGCCAATATTTATAAGTGAGACACATACACCGCACTTTTTACAGACTTATATTTCATTTCACCGATTTCTGGTGCCAAAGTGACGTAACATGAAAACCTGAGTGTATTAGTAAACGTTTTTCATATACTTCGATACATTTCCCATGTTGGGAAATTAAACCAGCTAAATATTGATGTCTTTTGTTTCCATTCTTTGTACATTAAGTTGTTTTCACACTCTTGGCTTGTTCTATCCAGAAAATCAAGCCTAGAATATGATTGTATACCTTAATTCTAAGGGTAGTCTGATAGCCTTGAAATATCCTCCTTCTTATGTCAGTTATACATAAAAATTCTGTTATTCCTATCGTTTTCTTGTGTTTACATGGAGAAATAAATTACTTGAGAATGTTAATTGTCTATGACTGTACACGTTTTCCTTATTTGAACATCATTTTTTTTATGATAATGGATGAAAAGGTTGAATAATGCTTTGGTGTCGATACAAGGAATGTAGTCGTTTGAACAATTAATCAGTACACATTTAATTACATTGACTTTTCGACTTTTAAGAGTGATTTTACAGGATAGAATGTTTGTAATAGCAAATATTATAGTGGTCTGTGTTAGTTTGGTCTTAAATGACGACGTTAGGTAGTAGGATACCAAAGGTATCATGATGTATAGCCAAAACAGAACAGGGGAATTATAAGAAAATGCATACCCTCAGTAAAGAAGATATATATTTCAGTCAGACGATTGTAAACATTAGTATCTGAGTTAATTGGTCCTCAAGTCAAGATATCCTTCAAGTAGCATTTTTATTGATAACACAGTTTTTAATGGCTCTTTCTTCATCATGCTGAACGCAATTATGAAGTATACTGTTATACGGTGCACTATTTTCAAATCTGCTTGAAACGTAACTACTGAAGTTAGGGTTTTCACAGACCTTCAGGCAATTCACCACATTTGAACTGTGCAAAGATTGCATTTAGGTATATGTTAACAGAAGTAAGTCAGTTGATGCATCTTCAAACGTTTGAGAAGACATTATTGTCACTAGTGTATTCATCTAACCTATGGATCTTTGTTGTCTTGAGTAGTACTACACAAAATAATTGAGATAAGAGAGAATCAAAGGTGACAAGGAAACTGTGGTTACTGGTATGAGCAAAGAAAAGGAAACTGATGAATGGAGTGTGTGGAGCAACTGAAACTGTCAACCAGAAGTTTTAGTTCAGCATATTTATAGTGTGTATGGGTTAGTTGTTCAGTGGTGTAAAGCTCACCAGCCATGCGTGAGGTCTGGGTTCCACTTCTGGTCAGCGCACTCTTATAGACTGCTTAGATTTCTAGCCGATATTGAGCCCAGAAAAAAAGAGGGGAAGTTATTCTTGGAGCTAACAAACTAACCGATTAAACAAAACGCCATTGACGGGGAAACTTCAGATGGTTGTAGGCAATCAGCAGGAAGCCTTGCTTGGTCTAGGTTTTGCGGAAGTTGGTAATCGTCAGCAACGTGTATCTGCAACCTTGAAGGAACTCATGTAACTTCTGAGATTCGAACCCGCATCACCCAGTGCTGCAGTCAGAGATGCTACCACCGAGCTATTCGGGGTCGTGATTAACCTCCTGTAGGACTGTATTGGATATCCTTTGACCGCACACTAGTCAGTCACTTTTCTCGTGTGTCTAATCCTTTGTTTGGTGCAGACTGAATTCTATCAGTCAAGGTTGCGTATACGCCTTATTTATGACTGCCAACTCCCACGAAACCTAGGGCCAAGGATTCCTGCAGATTGCTGGATAGAGAAGTTGTGCATATGTTCTTTCGTTGTTTTTCGGTTTACAGTATTTTTCTTATGAATTACACTTTTAGTGAATTCATTTGAAATATGATTACTGTAACCACTACAGGGTTTTGTCGCCTTCTTCACTACAAATAGTTTATTTTTCTTTCCTCTGTAGAGTCTAGAATAATCATTTTGTACAGTTCAAGTTAGATAATCCCTGTACCTCTTCCATCCTTCTTTTTGTTACATTTCAGCTGCGTGAAGCATTTATCGAACAACGAAGAGAAATTCAACGTTTAAGAAAACAACTAGCAGAAAAGGATTTACAAATTGCCCAACTAGAAGGTGATATACGACTCTATGAACCATGGCGTTAAATTATATTCTAAGAAATGCTTTCCAATTAAAAACAACAACAACAAAATATAAATATTAGTTTAAACCGGACAACATTCAAAAATTTCTCATTTACTTTCGCTTTCTATGTTTCTCTGTTCTTGATATTCTTATCATCATCACCTGTGTATCTCTGCATTGGTTTTTTTAAAAATTTAAGTCTTGTTTCACGGAAAAAATTTATGAACGAAAATATGGAACATTATGAGTTAAATTGACTTTAGGTATACCTACAGTTAGACGTCTAGTACAGACGAATAAAACAATAGCCCCTATAGGAAGAGAGTGATCGAAGGGTGCATTTACAGTTATGACATACATACTATATGCTTTTCTTTGTGGTTTTGTAAGTTTTTCTGTTACTTCATGTCCCCTTCTCTCTGTTGTTGTTGGGTAAGTTAGTCGAAGGATAAAGTTAAATAAGCCCAACATCCTTTTTTACAACACACTAGGAAAACAAAACGAATTACCTATGTGATTTATCTTCTATTTAACTTCTCCTTGACAATTTGTAACGTTTTGACATAAATGGTTCATGCACTGTCATTAATGATTTTTCTTTGTTGTCTCAAAATATTGTATGTTTGAGTGTATTTATATGCTTACATCTTCAGGAAAAAAAAAAATGGATGAAATTTGATCCAGTTCTCCTCTGTATTTTGTTTCTCTTGATTACTTTAGAAACCTGTTGTAATCAGACAAAAGGTAAATAGATACCTACAATTGGTCTTTTCTTATTTTTATAGATAAATACTTAAGTATTATTCATGATAGCTTACTTAGCAGTGGGAGACTGATAGGAATAAATTGGGTGTCTTCAAATATTATAATCTCCGCGATGAAAATTAATCTAATGCTCATTAGCGACTGGCCCAATTCAGGCAGTTAACCTGAGTTTCTAATGGGAAACCGTGACCAGTAGGGTGCAGCAGGTTGAAGATGAGGCAGTTACTAATCAAAGAAGATGTTGCGAAGTGGTCGTGCTATGTCATGAATTGGCAGAAGGTAGAATTCATGGGCCAGTCATTGGATCGGGTCCCAGTGGATTAATGGTCTGCGAGCTCGCCTTGTAACCAAAAGGTCCTGGGTTCGATCGCCAGTGGGTGCATACCAATGAAGAGTCCCAAACTAGGACGAAACAGCTGTCCAGTACTCCCAGGTGGTTTTCCAATGGTTCTTTAACTGATGTCAGCTCATGATGAAATCCTCCAACCAATCAAACAAAATCCCTACAAAACCAATACTTGAAGATTACTCATTACCACAGGTTACCTGGAATTCTCAGTAGACAGTGTCAATGATGCATTATGATTTACTAATGTAAACTGAACATGTCAAATATCTGAACCTTTTTATCATTCGGAATCAGTGACATAATGAAATGAAATCATACATTTAGTTTCTTCGGTAAACTTGAATGGAGTGAATTCTTCTTAATTTCATCGAAGCATCCATATCATCCATCATCCATATCAGTAGGGACAGAACATTTCTGTTCAGTACAATCAGTCAGTGGGGAATTGGAAAATAACTTCAGAAAATAGAATGGCGACATAATTTTCACAAATGTTAAATAAGTATCTGATTTGTTACAGGATTTCACCATGGGCTGACATCGGTTAGAGAACCACTGGAAAACCTGGGAGTACTGGACAGCTGTTTCCATCGTCCTAGTTTGGGACTCTTCACAGTACGCACCCACCGCCAGGATTCGAACACACGACCTTCTGGTTACAAGGCGAGCTCGTATACCATTAAGCCACTGGGAACCAATCCAATGGCCCATGAATTCTAACTTCTGCCAATTCACGATATAGCGCAACCACTAGCCAATGTCTTCGGCGAGTATTTGTCCTCACGCCCGACCAGCTGCACCCTAGTGGTCACGACTTCCCAGTATCTGATTTATTTTGCCAGAGTAAGCTAAACATTAGGAAATAAAAAAGTATGTCTGAATGATACAGGAAGTTAAAATGATGAGGTTTTTATTGATTAAGAAACACTGTCTTGACCAAAATCATTTACGTAAGTGTTAACAACGAAAGTGATGAAAATATTAATTTAAACGAAATTAGATACATAATGTTCGAACTCAAAAAGCGAAGTGAATCAGGTTTTTAAAACGATAAATTTAAAGATTCACTTCTTAACAGTGTGGTAGTGGATTAGAAATGGTTTCCCTTAGAAAATATAATTCTGGCCCTATTTGCTTTTAATTTAATTTTGATTTCCCCGTTGACTGACTGAACTGAAATTTTCGGTCTGCGTTGACATGGCAGCTCCTGGTAGGGACGTTGCGACCATGTCTCAGGACTAACTTGATGTAATATTTGTATGTGATGACTGCCAGTGGAATCCGAGTTGCGAATTCCGTCCTGTCTGGGACCCATAATTTTGAAGTCCACGCATTCCTTAGTGAGTGATGGTTTATCCCCTCGGGAATGCAGAAACATCTAGTGATGTGTCCTAGATAGGAAAAAATTCAAATCTTGGATTCCACTGCTAGTCGTCATCCACCAAATAACTTCAGGAGGATTCAGGCCTGCCAATTCCGATGGCTGGAACTTTAACAATAAGAAGCATTTGTTACCGGTTTTGTCTGCTGACCATGATTTACCAAACTGGTGTCTTATGTAGGCTAAGCAACCTCGCCTAGCTTACTAGCCAGTCCCAAGCTTGGAAAGAGAGGATGGATTTAGTGGGGGTTAGTGACCCTATCCCAGAAAACCAATCAAACTGCCATAGAAACTTCAATACACAAGAAAAAATACAAAAAACATTTTAAAAAAGTATTCCTATCTGGAATCGGAGAGTCGAAATAACACAGCGAGCTGGTGAAAGCCTTCGGGAAGCCAGTCAGCCAGCCAACCGATGTATTTTCTCTCAGTGAAAGCACGAATAAGAGTGGGGAAGTGGACTGTCCCTACAATGTACGAAGATGGCTGGGAAGACTGCCTATGTAGCCACAGAAATGAGAAAATATGATATAGAAGTGTTGGGCATCTGCGAGAGCAGGTGGGATGAATGTGGATTATCCAAACTGTCAACTGGAGAGTCAGTAATCCACTTCGGTTACTCAGACGACAACCACGGGCACACTGAGAGTGAGTGGCTAGCATGATGTCACCAGTGGCCGCCAAAGTCCTAATGCAGTGGGAACCAATTTCATCCGGAATTTTAACAACAAGATTCCACTCAAAAGGAAGGAAGGAAGGTAACAATTATCCAATGCTACGCAGAATGCCACAAACAACGCGGAAAAAGAGAAGAAGGAAGATTTTTACAGACAATTACAAAGAGTAATGGCTAACATCCCAAATGGTGACATCAAAATCCTTATGGGCGATATGAATAAACAAATAGGAGCAGATTATGCAGGAAGGGAACTCATCATAGATGGAGAAGCTGTCGGAGAAATTAATGACAACGGAGGAATATTTGCAGACTTCTGGGCTTTCATCGATTTTAGGGTCGGTGGCAGCGTGTACAAACACAAGGATATACACAAGATAACTTGGATTTCACCTGAAAGACACATCAAAAATCAGATAGAAATCAAGAAGGGGAGCAGATGTAGGCTCAGACCATAACCTATTTCAAGGAATCTTCAAGACGAAGTTGAAATCCTTCAGAACAACTGGAGACAGGCCACATTTCAAGTTCACTATTCAGAAACCGAAGGAAAAAACTACAAGGGGTAAGTTCACTTCACATCATATCAGAGCAAAGTCGGAGACACCACGTGGAATTTCTGGGGAAGTCTGCGAGGAAGAACATTGGAACTTTCTGAAGGTGATTTTCAAGGATTAGTGTACAGTCGTCCTAGAAATTAAGAAGAAAAATGACAAGGAATGGCTCTCAACGGATACCAGGAATCTAATAGAAGACAGGAGGATGTTGAAACAGAGGATGAACCAACGCAAAAGATGGACAACAGAAGGAGAAACTGAGTTCAATGTACACTGCACTGAACAAAGCAGTGAAGAAGAGTGCTAGGAAAGACATACGGCATTTCTACAACACACTAGCCGGCAACTGAAGCAGAACAGGCAAGCCGTAGGCAAGAGAGACACCAGGACACTTTATCAGATAACCAATTCTCCATCCGGGAAGAGATCAACGCAGATGAGGAAACCAATAAAAGATGCTCAAGTGAACCTGATCACCAAAGAGGAGGAACAAATAAAACAGTGGGCCGATCACTTTAAAGGACTCTTCAGTCGACTATCACCTGCAAATCACCCATAAATACACCATGCCCAACAACACTCACAGAACTGCCAGTGGATATCAATCCTCCAACGAAAGAATAAATCCTAAAGGCGATCAAGCTGCTGAACGTTGATCGGGAAAGCAGCGAGACCAGACGAAGTTCACCCCGAAGCACTGAAAATGGACCCGAAGACTGCAGCGGATATACTGAAGCCATTATTGCAAAAGGTTTGACAGGAAGGAAAAATGCCTACCGATTGGAAAAATGGCTACCTCATTAAGCTGCCACAAAAACGCAACTTACACCTCTGCAAAAACTGATTGGCGTGGAATAATACTTTTGTCCACGCAAAGTAAAATAATAAGTCGCATTGTCCTGGATAGAATAAAGGACGCACTGGATACAGAACTCCACCCACAAGAACAAACTGGATTCAGGAAAGGCAAGTCATATGCTGATCAAATTGCAACTGTACGCATCGTCGTCACAGAACAAAGCATAAAATGGCAGTTACACCTCTACCACAACTTAATCGACTTAGAGAAGGCCTTCACCAGACAGCGTTGAGCGAGAAGTAATTTGGAAACCACATCAAAATTACTGTGTGAAGTGCCCGAGTCTTTATCAACCTCATTCAACACCTGGCTATATCAGAATGCCACGTGTCAAGTAATCCACAATGGGAAACTCAGCGAGGCGTTCGAAGTGCATACTGGAGTAAGAAAGGACTGTTTATTGTCAACGATGATATTCTTAATTGCAGTGGACTGGGTTATACGTCAGACTGTGCGTTGGGAGCGACGAGACTGGAATACGCTGCACTGACCGTTAAGAAGACTCTAGAAGATCTGGAATTCGCGTGCGGATGGTATATGTCTAATGTCACACAAGCTCGAAGTCTTGCATACGAAGACCAAGAAACTGGCTGAAGTGGCTGGTAGCGAAGACAGGACTCCGGGTGAACATAGAGAAGACACCGGTGATGAAGATAAACAATCAACATCAGTAACAACAACAACAACCAGCACCAATCACC